GCAACGTTCTTTTAATTCTAATGTTTAAGAGATATTGCCAGAGCTACCCCTGCGTATTATCTAACATGTGAAACTACTCGCTCCTAGCAATTGAATAACCACATGACGATGCGTTGTATTTTAAACATGTTTGCAATAAATAAGTAAACGCGATTTAACAACAAACAATTCTTGTAAATAATGGCATTTACCGTGAAACAGTCTGCTTTGAACCTTAGTATTTGAGAGATTTGTTAGAAAATGGCTTTAGTGAAGATGGATTCGTACTTTTAACCAAACTAGAGTGAAAGTGACTACACCCTTCATATGAGTTCGCGTCGAAACTCCTAGGAGTTGTGAAGGCCAATTTACCCCAGGTGATGCAAGCGCTACGAGGGGGCATGTCCTCTGAAGGGAAAAGGTCTCACAAAGGACAGACGGTGCGGTCGACAACATGAGTGGAAAGCAGCGAGGAGTTAGCAATGGAGATGAGTCCAGGCGACGGCGAGGCGGCGACGCAGTGCTGATGCTCCGGTGACGCCGCCGGCGGCGGCGGCGGCGGCGGCGGCGGCGGCGGCGGCCAGACAGACGCGGGTGTTACGGCGACGTCGGCCACGCTCACGGGGATACTGGAGATGCAGACCCGACGACCGCTGGCCGCACGCCGCGTAGGGCGGAGGCTCTTCGAGCATAAATATTTCAGCCGTTCATTGCCAATTTTATATCCCAATTCCACTTTTGTGTTTTGGAATGCCACTGTTATGTGCAAATTCCGTTTTATCAAAACTTTAATTTTTTGATTGTCTGTGAAACTTCGGTTTTTGCTTCAAGTTTAACGAGTAATGTTTGTATTAGGTAGTGGCGAAAATCCTGCCACCGTCGGAACTCGAACCCAAGGACCTCGCGATCAGAGGCACTGTAATGGGATCCATGTGCTTCCTATACACACACTTTTCAAAAAACAGAACGTTTGAAGCATTTGTATCTACCTGTATAATACCTATCATATAACTTATAAAATTATAACTTATTAATTTTACCTGTAGTGTAAATATAGAGTGGGATATGTGCGAGGTGCTGAAGAATCAATGTGTTTGGAAATTAACATTTTTTTTTATCAAAATGACCCATAATTCGTGCGATTAAGGGTATTGTATTCTACCGATACACAAAGTTAAAAGAAAAATATTGGAACCGTTTTGGAAAAAAACATGTTTATATATATTTGGAAAATTGTTTCGATTAACTCAAAATTAAGCGATATACTAATATTTTGAAAAAAAAACTATACATAAAATAATTTAAAGAAAACACCGTTGATTTTTACAGCATTACTTGACTTTTTGTATTCTGCGTATACGAGAAAGTAAAAGGGAGTAATTCCTGGATTTTGTTTTTCTTCTCGACATGAGAATATTTCTAAAAAAAACTTTCTGTCTTGCTCGACTTTGTTTATTCTAAAACTCGTGTCTTCCTATTCGATCTGCCTCTAAACCTGCTTTGAATTCTTTTTTTCTCTCCTGCTTTCTTTCTAAGAGTTTAGAACGTTTTTTCTTTAGTGGAGTTTATTTTTATTTTCTCACCTGTGTGCAGAATAAATTGCATTATACTCCAGTTTTCCTGGAGAATACATTTTCAAGTGAGGGAATTAATTTTCCCATTAACGTACAAAATAGAAAAATCTTTCCGAATGGACAGCAAAGCGGTCGAAGTTTCTCGTGACTAAAATCAAACTACTGGAATGGGTGTCTCGAGAAGGCGTTCTGCGCATCTGCGCTCTGACCTGTACGACCTTTGAAATGGAGTAGGTAAATTCCAAATCACTCACATTGCATTCGATACTTCAGTACAAATAAAAAGAACAATATGGAAGGGCGAGGTCAAGAGATGTCAGTGATGTAGGATAGCTTTGCCATGCCAAATATATGCAACTGCATTGAGTAGATTCAGATATGTTCTGTATCAATCACATGAAACGCAGGCACGAAAGGCATTGCGCGTATTTGCAAATGATATAGGGACAGTTCACTGCTGACGTGTGGTACGATGAATATAGTAAAATTGACTTGCGGAGTGATGGCTCCACTCTAGCCGAATTACCATCGAGGGATGACAAAAAGCAAACGTAAAAGTAGAGAAGCGTTCTGGATACAATAATTTTGTTAGAAAATTTGATTTAAAACTATGTGGCTCTCTTTTTTCAATAGGTATGTCATAAAGAAACAGTTTATTAAAAATCATTTGCACTTTCCGAGAAAAAATATTTTAAATTTGAGATTATGAGAAACCAGTCAGCAAAGGATACTTGTGGACTTACATTCGTAGAATTCATCCATATGATAAGATTCGTTCTGAGAAACTACGTTGCGGGAGGTCTGCGTCAAGGCTACGTCGGTGTCCAATGATATGGTTCCAGGACATTTTCCTGGCGCGTCTGTTGGGCGCCGTTGTCGCAGTAATACTCTGGTTCTTTTCGAGTCTTACTACAATGTTTGAAATGATGTAGTATTTGTAATGTTCATAGAGGACATTGTAAATTTAAAAAAAAATATAACCACAAATAATTATCAGTGGAACGTATGTCAACAATAGTAATATTCCCGATTTGAATCGGATATCCAGTTCTTACTTAATTTCAAAAATAGTAAAACCTGTTCTTGTGACATATGGGAGAAAAAGAACTATATTTAGTGTTTCGAAGTATAGAAAAGGTACATCATGGCACTTGCTCAATAAAGGATTCTTCAGCTGTTTTTTGTTGTTATACTGGAAGCTTTACAACATTTAATAACGCATAACAACGTTTTGAACGCGTATAACTTCATGGTAAAAATGTAATGTTATCGGTGGAAATTACCGGCTGAGGTGGCTCAGGGCAACGACTGTTGCCACTGCAGCGCATCCGAGGTTCCAGGGCTCGCCACCCGACGGTGGCGTATTATCGACAATAGCTAGACATCTTAGTTTAATTCATCTGTTGTCTGGAGGACACTTCTAGCGGACGGCTGCACTTTTCTGTGATTTCTCCAATCAATATCAGGCGAATGCTGGAGTGGGTCATTAAAATGGGCCACAAAAGCGCGATGTCTTCTCTCCCCTTACACATACACACACACACACACACACACACCAACACTTTCATGCAGTACGGCAGGGTTGTCCTACTGGCAGCCAGCGGGCCGCATGCGTCCCGCGTTGCCATTTATTGTGACCCGCGAAAGCTTATTAGTTGAGAGTGAAAGTCCCTTTCATCCATGTCGAACGAACACATTGTGCGCCTGGGGCACGCACCCTGTCGGGGTCAACCCCCGTTTATATAAAAATGAGTTAAGTTTAGATGTAAGAATTTTTTAGTAAACTCAGAAATTTACAATGATCCTAATGTCTGTCACTGCGTTATACATGGTATGGCCTGGTATCACGCATGGTTTCATCCCCCAAGTTTCAGTGCAGCCGGGTACAGTGCCAAGATCAACAATGCGGGAAAGTCAGATGTGGATCGTCCGCGTAATGAAACTTTTTGCCCGCAACCTTACTAAAGGTTTTAGTTGCGGCCCTTGAGACCTTAGAAGTTGGACATCCCTGCAATACACTCACGTATTGGGTGACCAGTCGGAAGCTTAGAGGTTAGATTATAAATATAATAGCTGACTGCAATAGTAGAGTAAAAATATTATACTTTTAGTATAGACTACAAAGTTTGTATTGAAAAATTAAAGATTGTATTAATTTATAAATTAAAAAGTAATCATTTTCCCCGAGGGTGGAACCCAACACGATTTTGTGCTTGAGCAGTACCTGATGTCGCCCCTGACTACAACACATTGTATAGTGAATGTTGGCAATATTGGGTGACCAGTCGGAAGCTTAGAGGTTGTCCCGGTTGGGTGGGTGGTTGGGGGGCAAGTTGGCGGAGATATCTGGAGAAGGAAACCCCCGCCGGCCGACACGTAGGTCGGCTCCGGATATCACATTGAGAGGGGATATCGCCATCCTCTGGGATGTAGATAACAAATCATCAGTCAATCGGCGGAAACTGTACTGCGAGCTTTTATTTCATGGTTACACACTATTTAATATGTGTGCTTGCAACTTGTTATCAGCGGCGATTGTATAGAATTCGAAACAAAGTCGCTGAAATCATATTTGATCATTTACGGAAATAAACTACAGAACACAAGAAGGAAAGGACATTCTTAAAACAAGAATAAAAAAGGTGTGCTTGAATAGGCCACACGATCTGAAACGAAGAACATGAAGCATCGGGGATTGTCAAAACGGCGCCATGATAAAGACTGTCTTCATTATGACAGACACGGAAGAAGTATGAAGATTTTGGCGTGAAAAATATGATTGGATATAAAGGTGATCTAAATAATGAAATTCTTGTTAATAAGGAAATTAATCGAATGTTGTAAAATGTTTGATTTGGTTGTTGATAATTTCATTTTAAATGATTTACGTTAATTAGAAAAGATAATATTATTAATCGTAAATAATAAAATAACGTAATTAATGTACATAGAATTATAATTAATACTATAAATCTTATTTCATTGTAGCATGAATTTTGGATAATTATTCATTTGGGTAGGTACAAAATTTGTCTTTTCGTGTGTTCAACGTAATAGAAAGGAAGAATCACTATACATTATACTACATATAACTACGTTGTAAATGCATCTTTGTTAGTACGTTATGAGAACGTGAAAGCTTGAAAATTATAAAAAAAATGTCGGAAGACGGCTTCTAAAACGCATGTCCCAAATGCTAGTTTCGTCCACTCGTTCCCTCCGTGGTCCCCTCGCCCTCCGCGACGCACGTGGGCGACGCTGGTGGGGCGCGCGCCGCAGGGCGGGGTGGTCAGGGCTTGTCCGCCACTGGTGGATGGCCCTGATGGGGGGGACGCACGTCACTTCTAGTTCCCGGGGCCGTCACCCGGGGCGGGAGCTACCGATGTGTCCGCGGGGACTTGAGGGTACCTATAAGAGCACGGGGGCCGTGCCTCGCCCGCATTCGCGAGTTAGCCGTCGCCGTCGGCAGTCGTCTCCTGCGTCTGGCAGCCGAGCGAGCCACCTGTCTGCCGCGTCGGTCTTTCGAGACTCCGAAAGCTTTTGAGACCCAGCCATGTCCCGCACCGGAGGCACCCAGGGCCTGCCGTCCCGAGGCCCACCTCGAGGTCCACCCGCCGTCCCCCCGCCGCTGCCCGCCCACGCCCGCCAGCCCCAGAAAGGCCGCGGTGAGTAGCCCAGCTTCGCTTTCCGCGCCCGTGCTGCTCTGCCGTTTGCTTGGCGACCTGAGGCGTCTCGTTGGAAGACTTCGGAAAGAATTGCTTGGCGTCCGAAGTCAGATTCCGCGAGATTTCTCAATATTACTGTGGTGGCTTTCTCAAATGTGCAAGACAGTTGTTTGTTCCTTATATCTGAGCCGTGTTTCATTCATTCGACATTATTTGTTTCTTCAGCTCTTCTTACTGTTTACTGTCTCGCCTACTACGTACTTACGTAATAAAAAGAAAGTATTGTGTGGCACGTAAAGCAGTGGAAATGGTGTTCTTGTCACAAAAACTTGTATTGTAAGGTCCTGATATTGAAAAAAGGGATAAATCGTGTTCCTTTACGTAGTAAATTGCGTCATCGAACAACTTGTGCAGTAAGAATCCCGGTTTTGTGGGTCCTTAATTCAAAAACATTGGTTTGCAGCAAATCGTCTCTCTGTCCGTGTGTTAGTCCGTCTCTCCGTATGAAGTCAACGCTAGCGCCTAAACTGTTCAGACGATTTTCTCCAACATTGATTTTCCTCGATCTATCGGGCCGTACTCGTAGTACTACGAGTACTCGAAGTAGCGGGAAATAGCGAGTTTTTCAACACAAAATTCATATTGTGGGACCTTGATATCCCAATAATGGATAAATTTTGTTCCTGTTTGTAACAAATTATATCCTCTAACACCTCATAATTAGATTGCACGTTTCGTGAGTCCTTAATTCCGAAAAAATTGGTTTACGGCAAATAGTCTCTCTCTTCCCGTCCGTCCGTATGTTCGTCTCCTCTCCGTCTGTACTCAAGCCGACCAGATATTGTTTTTCCAAAATTGATATTGCATCATCCTGACCTGATCGATCGGGATGAACTCGAGGCCCTGCGAATTTGAAACTGATATTTTTATTTAGGGCATTCTTTAATCTCGGTATTTTCGAAAATGATAAAGGGAAAACATTTAAAACTATAATATTAATGATGGAGATTTTTTCCTTCATGAAATCTGTTCTAAAAAAGTAGATCTGTAAATAAAATCATGTAATTGTTTTAAAAATAATGCTTTTAGTTTTCGCATTATTTTTGCACGAAGTAAAGGCAATCTATTAAAAAATGTTTAAAAACTCCTCCAAATTTTGTCTTTAAATGTTTTCCTTAAACAGTACAAAGCTTGCTTAAAAATAGCGCAGGTTTCATTTCGTCAAGCTTTCTGAATTTTCGAAAACTTCATTGTTCAAAATCTATTTAGCATCATAGCTTATGTCAGCTCACCAATTTGAAAAATGCATTGTATGTTTGTTACTACCCAGATTTTACATTCGTTCTTGTAGTCCAAAGGAAGCATACTATATTTTTGCCGTACGTATGCAATTGGAATGAATTATACCGTTCTATAATTAAAATAGAATTTATCCGTACTGGCTGTTGCGAAAGAATTTGCTTGACTGGCTTGATTTTCATACTGTATAATAAATTACTGCAGAATATTCTTCGAGGTTCCAAGTAGGGTTAATGTGTGTTCATCGCAATGTGCTGACATCTTCAAAATTTCGTGAGATATAACGCGTAGAACTATCGTCATAGGACATAATTACATCAATTGTGCAATCTCGTAAATTCCATAAACCTATATTAATGTCAAAGATAAATGTTCAGAGGGATTACGCTATGTTTGATTATGTCTTGTAATAATGTTTCTGACAATCACCTTGAATTAGCTAAAGGCGGGTCTTGCGTCTTGAGGCAGTGTAACAACACTTTCGGCTCACGCATGTGCGTGGGTTTTCTACAAAACTCTTTGCTGTTCCGAATTTTAGCACGTTTCTCGTCTACGAGTCTTGTGAACTTCGCCTACCTGTTCTTCCGATGTTTTGGGTAATACTATATTGATCAATAAAAGCAATAAAAGCTCAGCTCGAGATTCAAGAAGTCGACGAAAAACTTTTATGCAATTGTATAATGTGTACGTAATGTAATCCCACAGTCGGTATGGCGAAATAATTAATTTTGATATCGTATAATTTTAAATCTCTTCATTTGTATTGTTTACTCTTCTTCCGAACGCATTACAGTATCGGATAGGATTTGCAAATTGTTGATTTTTTATGTAGAGCAAACGTGTTTTACTTTATTGTTTACTATGTAAGTTATAATGAGAAAATATTGTAAAGTGCTGTACTGAAAAGTCGCTATTTTCGTAAGAAAAACTTATATTGTGGTGCCCTGATATTGCAAAAGTGAATAAATCGTAATCCCATATGTTCTAAGGTAGTAAAATACTTATTCTAACATCTGGTGTAATCAAAATCCTTGAAACCAAAAAATTGATTTTCGGCAAAACTTCCGTCCGCCGATCCGTCCTAAACGTTTGTGTCTGACTGTCCGTTTGTGGTCAACACCAGCGCCTAAACCATTCAGGCAATATTTTCCAAAATTGATATTCTCCGATAGATTTGGCCTTACTCGAGGCCCTGAAAATTTGAATCAGATATTTTATTTTTTTGGAGGTATTGCACATAAAACCTTAATATTTTCAAACTATTCTCAAAAATGGCCGAAATATATTTTTATTAAATGTTTCCTTCGAATAGAGGACAGAACGCTTAAAAATGATGCAGGTCTCATTTTCTTTTCACTGTCTAAAATTTCGAAAATTGTAAAAGTTCAAAATTTTCTGCGTCCTTCTACAACTACCATAGTACAGACGAAGATTATTCTTTAATGAAATTAGTTTCAAATTTATATTATATAATTATACTAATATTATATATAATCTAATATAATATATAGATATAATTTTTTCAGTTGTTTCTCTTTCTTAATTAATTTTCCTCACTTTCGACATCATTCTTCAAGTATCTTACACTTCGTCTAGCCTTTTTTATGGGTCTAATCTGCACAGTATTTCTCCACTCTCTTTGTATGCTTGTTAACCTCCTCCCTTTTCGCAATCTGAATGATTTTGGTATTTCGTTTTTATTCTTTCATCTTCCTCCCTTTCTTTCTTCCTTCGTTTTGTATTCCTTCCTTTCTTCCTTCCTCTCTCTTTTTTCCTCTTCGTTTTCCTCCTACATTTTCCTTCGCTGCTCTTTTTATATTTCGTTCCTCCTGCTCTCATATCCCTCCTTAGTATCTTTCTTCCGCCTTTGTATTTCTTAATTATTACTGTTTTTCTCTTTCCCCAATCGTAAGCAGTGCTTTTTCGTTCTACTTATTTTCCTTCTCTCGTTTCATCCATTCTAATATATTAATAAGTCCACAAACTTTTGTATACTTCTGGCTTATTTTCTTTAAATCTCATTTTATCCCTATGAGTTCTGGATTTTTCTTTTCTGTCCTTTTTTCACTCTACCGTCCCTACATACGGTCATCGCTTTCTTCTTTGCGTCTACATTTTATGTTAATTCTCTTCATTTCTACTTCCTCTCTCTTTCATCTCTTTCTCTTTCAAAGACGAAACGCCCGGTCATACATACGACAATGTCTACGCAAAATAATAAAAACATTGAATTTAATATATTTGGAAGAATATATTAATACTCTAATGTAATTCTATTGTATTTTAAATTATAATAATATTCGTTAAAGAGTACTCATATTTAACAAAATAAAAATCGCCCTGAAAATAGCCATAAAATAACGAAAAGAATGTAAATAATTCGTATCTAATTGAGAGACTGCTGCTATTCCCCAAGGTTCATCTCTCTGCTTCAGATCGTATTCAGTTGTATAGCAATGATCTTAAGCCCAAATCTAGCTATTATTTTTACAATTGGCGTTGTGGAAGTCGTTCAGAACACTTTTGTTGTTTGTAAGTTTTTAATTTTCAAAAGCGACCGTTACCGTGTTTGAGTTTCTGGCGGAATTTATGTTTCTTTGCAAAGTCGGCTGCATCTCACATTGAGACTGAGAAAAACATCTTCAATGACGTACAATGCAGATACCACGCTTAGGTTGATTGATTGATGATTCCGTGCATGTCAACTACTACGGTTGCTAGCCCCTTAGGCGTAGTGCATGTTTTCTTCCTCGGGAGGTTGCGGTGATTCCCCCGCAAGATGGTGAGATCTGGCGAAGACCTTCTCGGCGGCTTGCTGTTTTTCCCAACCAGTTATCTCCCACCAGCAGGCACCTCCTCAGCCAAAATAAGCTCTAATTCCCCGACTGGTCTCTCGGTGTCTGATAGTGTAGTGCTTGTAAGTGTAAGTGTTTGTAAGTAAGGGATGAGGATAGGACAAGGAGGAGGAAGGATCGCGCGTGCTCCGTGACCCGTTCGGGCACTTCTCTGGCATTCACCTGGCGTTGATCTGAAAAAACACGGAAAACTACCGATCAGAGAAGCCGGTCACTACAATTCTCCTCCGTACAGCGACTGAATTCGACCTAGCTATGTAGCTAGAGTCGAAAATCCTGCCACTGTCGGGACTTGCACCTAGGACCTCCCGATCAGAGGCACTGCAGTGACAACAGTTGATGCCCTGAGACACGTCTCCTGATATATGCTTAGATTCAACTTTACTTCAGTAGAATCATTCCACAATGTTTTTACCTAAAAGTAAAGGTGACCAAAATGAACCTTAATTCTGGAAACTAGGAAGTTCCATGACATTTTTATGTCGAAATACTTTTATGGTTTAGCCGACTCTTTTCGCACATGCAGTTCCATGTTGGGGGCGAGGCTCGGGCCTTCTGCCTCCATGATTTGCAAAACCCAATTTTGGAGTCTGTCCAACGCAAAATTATTACAGCATTTACACACAAAATATTTATGCAGGTGTGTTCCCGCTCTCTTTAACCTTCCCGCAGCGCCCGCGAGAAGAACGTATGAACTGAAGTATACCACTGAAGTAAATAGTACCCATGTTTTTATGTAGTATGCTCCTTATTTGACGTTTCACCGCCCATTCATGGTGGCCCTCGTCCCAGAAAAATCTCGTATCTCGTAAAATCATAAAATATTCGTAAAATCATAAAATAAGT